GGGATGTGGCTCAAGCAGTAGCGCGCTCGCCTGGCATGCGTGCGGCCCGGGTTCGATCCTCAGCACCACATACAAACAAAGATGTTGTGTCCGACGAAAACTAAAAAATAAATATTAAAAAAAAAACAAAAAACAAAACAGCCTTGTGGCATTTTGTCATAGAAGTCCTAGCAGACTATCAGATAGAGTGGCAGAGAGATGTTAAGGGACTCTTCTGGGGCACACTGAAAGGAGATGAAATCAAGCCTTCTACCTGAGTCCACTTTCTCTTACTTGTGGAATAAAAATTCTTCAAATACTGTTCTCTACTTTTAGAATATAAAAATATTGTGCAAAATCTATGCAAATAAATGTGTAAATATTGACTTGGAGAAAATGTAGCAATTTAATCTTATTTCTTTTAGCTTCTGCTTGCAGCAGAGATGTAGAAGGACACAAATGACCATCGACAAAGAACACTAGACAAAGCCAGAAAAAAATTTTATATATATATATATATATATATATATAAAACATTATATATTTAAATATATTTTTTCTATATATAACATTTTCACACATAAATTTTGTCTTTTTTTTTTTTAACCACCCACTGGAGAGCTAAGGTCTCTAAGACATTGAAAGGACCCTAACTGCAGAGGAATTGAGCCCTTCCTAAGTGAACAAAAACCAGCAGCCACAGTCACCTGTAGGCACAAGTAGATGAGGAGCTAATCAGTATCGGTTTCTTATTGTGGAAACAGGAAGGAAGCGGCCATATTTTCAACCACATGGGCTGGAATGATGGATTAGAGCTGGATTGGTGTAGGTGTGGTAACCCTACTCCAGACTTTTGCCAAGTGTGTGGTGGCCTGCAGAAATCAGGACAGGGATAGAAGACTCGGTAATACTCCCCAGTCATATGGGGACTGGGACTGATGGTCTTTAGGAAGGAGAGATTTGATCCTGCCTCAAGACATTTGAAAGCAGTGGTGAACTAAAAGTAATCCAAGCCAGCCCATCTCAAATCCCAATAAAACAGAAGAGCTAACCTCCTCATCCTAGCTGCCTTTTTGTCACCTCGAGGGGGGTGAATTAAGGACAAAGCTGTCATGCAGAGAAAGACCTGTAGAGAGGCTGAACTTGGTCAAGCCTTACCTGAAGTCCAGCCTCCTGCTTCACTAATCAGTTCCATAAACCCATGTCAATGATTTCTCTGGTGTTTAAGTTTGACTTCTGTCCTTTCCAATCAAAAGAAACTTAATTGAAACAAAGTACAAGTCCTGACCAATTGTGTATTAAATGTACACACCTGATTACACATGCAACTTCTTGCATCAATTAGCAATACACAATTTCCGAAGAGTCATGGTATCCTCCAAAGACTCATTGAAATGATATTCATAATTCTTTAAATGAACCAGACAAAACTAGCAAATAACTAATAATCTTTAAAAACAATCATAATAGCACTTCAACCATAAAGAAGATATTAGTGCCTCACAGGTCCCCCCTATTTCAGGCATATTCATGTGCTAATGAGCTCACCACCACTCAAAGTGCTGCAGAATTGTGATTTTGAAAATGTCTCATGGCAAATTAGTCTTCTATTTTACCCTGCACTTCTGTCATTCACATGTGACACCTACCACGGTAGAGAGGACAGACATTCAAATTGGCATCTAAATCCATGAAAACAGTGGCAGGAAGAGTCTAAGTTGAATCTGAATGGGGAAATTTAAGCATAGAAGAAAGATTAAAAGTTTTAGAGTCAGAATGACCACTTGAAAATCAAAGAACATTTCACAATATCCAAAGTACCATTTCAGTTGTTGAGAATTGCCAAAAAAACTTTCAAAAACTCAAGCTCTCACCAAAAGGAAAAAAGAAGTGGGGGGTAGTTTGCAGACTCCATATTCTCTTGCCAAGTTCTAATCTGGAGTTTTATTTTATGAATCAGTTTATAAGGTCCTAAAAATAAGGAGCTAAAAGGAAACAGGGTCAGCCTGTCCCCTCATAAGGAGCCCCCCAAATCTTCTAGAAATGCAACCTCAGTGGCGTACAAGGGGAGGAAGGGTCCTTCCAGGTCCTCATGTTTCAGTCCTTCTAGCCCCCAGCCCTGCTCAGACATAAGATGCTGGACAACATGGCGTCTTACACAGGTTCAACTTTAAGGTAAATTCGTGATTTGTGGAAGAAGAAGAAGAGTTCTCAACTCCCCACCTGCATGAGCCAGCAAGGCTACTCTGAGGCTTTGTCCAAGGTTAGGGCAACATAAAATCAATGACAGGACAAAATGAAACCAACAGCCACCATATTCAGCCAGACAGAACATGTTCCCATGAGAAATCCTGGATTAATCTGATTAATCTTTCTAGGAAACTTCAAGAATGTACTTTGCTGTAAATTAAGTTTCCTGATCTCTAAACTCCCAACCTTTGAAAGCTAATCCAAACTCGATAGGGCATAATTGACTACTTATTAGCTAAGCCTATTAAGAGACCCAATGTCTTTCTCAACACAGCAACCAAGTTTACTATTTCATGCAAAGCAAAAAGCAGCAGGAGCAAAATGGAGACCTCCTTTTGGTATCTACACTCCTACCCAGTACGGAGCCTGAGTTTTGCTCCATCTTAATTATACACAGTGCTCCAGCTCTTCAGGACAAGTTGATGCAAGATTTGGGGGAAGAAGAAGGGTGATTTGTTTTTGAGGCAAATTCAGAAATTTCTCTCTTCACCCTTACATGGCTGCTCTTGTCTTAGTTTCTATCAGGTCCACCCCATTCAGCTTGTGTTCACTTTATTTCCTCCATTAAAGGCTAAACAGTCCATCAAAAAATGTGCCCCGAAGCCAGTCTTAGGTACAAAAATGCAAACACAAGCACCATTTGTCATTTTGTCAGCAACTCTTGGTATCTCTCCCCTAAAAAGGACAGAAGCAGGTCATTAGACAAACATTCCATTATCTCATCCCCAAGCATGCTGCATTTCTGATCAGAGACTGGCAGTTGATGAGCACTGGTTTGAGTGAAGAGGGAGAATAAAATACATTTGCCCTGGGTTTTATTGCGTGGCCCTACTTAAAGATTCTCAGCTGAGAAAATCTACTTCCGCTGGCCCACAGGTGCTATTACTCATGTTTAATATTCCTTAGCACGGGGTTTTCAACACCAGCCGAACTTGATACATCAGAACCACTTGGGAGCTTTTACATGGCCAGATGCCCAGGCTGTGCCCCACACTAATTAAAAGGGCAATGGGAGGGGACCTGGGCACTGGGGGTTGTCACTCCCCTGGCAATGCCAATGTGCAGACACAACTGAGAATTGATGCCTCAGTGAAATCCCTCTGCCATTCAACCAGTGTGTTCAGCTCAGCTGCAAAAAGTACACAAAGACTTAGAATGACTAACAGTCATTCTGAAAACAAAAAAAGATCCACAAAACTGACCTAACAGGGTCCGTAAAAATAACACACTGACATCAAGTGCATGACCATAAGACTTACGAAAAATCCTGCTTCATATTAAAGGGTGTTTTTTAGTTAATCGATAACTTTATGCTGAGGTCCATTTTCCCCACTTTTATAGGGTGCAGAAAGGAAGAGAGAAAAATATTAAGGTCTAGCGGTGTTCTCTCTCCATGTATGACTCAAAACTCCGGTGGTTTCAGAGTAGACTTTATCCAGCACAGTCATCTCTAATATCTGCCTGCCACATACAGACTAGGCCATGGAGGGTGATAACCAGACTTCATAATGTTCTACAGGCAGGGACTGAGCTGGGCCACAAGACTTGCTTACAAATTCCAAAGTTACTCTTGAGGAAAGTCACATCATTGATTTATTTCCATGGTCACACAAATACTCAATTGAGACACCCCACATTTTCATACAAAGATAACATTAAACTACAAAAGCACAACTCCCAAAGGTCTGCTATGGGGCCCCATGATCTCCTGGGAGAAAAAGTCACCCATGAACTGTGGTAATCCAGCTTCATCAAGGGACATTTGCAGGCCTACTGCTGTGGACACAGCACCATGAGATGTTCTTAAACACCTGACAGAAAACACAAAGGATGCTCAAAATAGAGGTGCAGAATACAGGAGTTCTGGGTTCTACTTCAAGTTGCATATCACAATCACTTTTAAAAACACTTGATACCCAAGTCATACCTCAGGCCAATTAGATGGGAATATTAGGCAATGAATGGCATTTTTAAAGCACTGGTTCTCATACCTTAGCATGCATCTGAATCCCTGGGAAGGCCTGGGAAGGCACAGATGACTGGTCCACCTCCAGGGTTCCTGATGCTGCAGGTCTGGCTTCAGGCCAGAGAATGTACCTTCCTGGCAACTTCCCAGGTATTACTGATACTGCTGGAACAGGGGCCATAATTTGAGAACCACTGTTCCCCAGGCAACTCTAATTAATGAACAAGGGGTGAGGACCACTACACTAGAAGAGTAAGTGAGCTCTGGCCAGGGCATCAGGAGGAGGGAAATCAAGCTAGAATTGGAATTCTATCTCTGATACTAACCTGTGGCTTGATAACAAACTTGTAGAGATTTTTCAGACCTCAACTTGGTCCTGACACATAAAACTGAGGCAATGCCTGAACAAGATCATGAATTCCTTGCAGAAATAAAATAATGACCTTTTCAAAGGACTGCACTGCATGAAATACTGACTCTAATACACAAGGAAAAGGAAGTGGCTTCCAGGGCCATTAAATAGTTTTCAACATGCCTAATGACATTTCAGTCAAACACAGACTGAATATACCACTCTGGTTCCATATTGTGTAGTGACATAATAGCCATCTTAGCCTGTGCAAGTACATTCCGTGATGTTCCCATGAAGAAACTGCCTAATGATTGCTCAGAACATCTCCCTGCCATTAAGTGACACATGACTGTATAGGTGAAGTTCTTGCTCATATGATGTCAGCACATCTGGTGCTGCACTGTGGGAGTCATCTGTGCATGTGCTCTGTCCAGACATGCTGCCCTAACTCACCTGTTAGAACCTTGCAGAACTGCCCAGGTACCTGGGCCTCGGCAGTTGGGCTGGGTGTCAAGGTCCATTTGCGTCTGATCACATGCTCTCGTCCACTGAAGGGACCACTGGAATTGCTGAGAGGCTGGATTAGCACCTGCTCCTGTCCAAGCTGGATGAGGCCGACCTGCCAGGAAAGGAAAGGAAAACAGGACATTGGTTGCCTCACTCATACATGTCCATGGCCCCTGAGGCTTGAGAGGAACAAAGTCACCTTGCTATGGTTTGGTTTTCCACACCTGGGCTTTTTTTCTTTGCAAATTGCTTGAATTTACCTGAGCCCAAAAGTGTCTGTCTGACATACAAACATCCCACTGAGTGGCTGAGTTGGAAGGGCTGGGACGGGGGGGTTGAAATAGGGGTGGGGGTTCACATGTGTATAATAATACCCTTTTCTGAGTGCTTTCAGAGAGAAGACAGTTACTTTCCATTGATTTTTCAAGAACTTCCCTTAAAAATTATTTTTAAAACCAACCTAAGAGTCCATCTGAGGAGGCAACCCCCAAATTGTTTAGAATGAAAATTATATCCCTAATGGGAAAAATGTAGCTTAATCCTGGGGATAACTTAGAATTAAATACAAAGACAATAAGGTCAGTCTGATTTGTAGTATTAAGTGCTTTGTGATGGGGACTTGTGCATTATTCCTCCAGAACGAGTAATAGTTAAGAGAACTTGGCAGAATACCTAATGGATTAGATTTGCAATTTTAACTTAGAGCATATCATTGATTTAGACTTGTGATTTTAAAATCTTTTTAGGTTACAAATAGTATTAGAATGTGTAGAAGACCTCAGGCCTTCTCATGTTTATAAGACTAAGTTATTAGGCTTATAAGAATGCCTAAATACTTGTGAAAAGTTTCTTTTTTAACCCAGACATCCAATGAACTTGAAAATAAAAATCAAAATATTTCTCAGAAGACTGTTTTTTCAAAATGTTTAAAAATTGTAAGTGACATTGTAAATGGGGTCAAATGTTTCAAAATCCTCTTTAAAAATAACTGCAAAATCACGCTAAGATTATAAGATTTGTAAATTAAAGGAAATCTTTAAAAAAAAAACTAGGATTTTTAATTTGTTGCTTAAATGAAGTGAAAATTTTAACTCTACGGGGGAGAGGAATTCAGTGCATAGAACTTTCCCCTCCCTGGGAACCAATGCTGACAGCATTGGTCATTCTTGCCTCAGACACCTGCTGCAAGCTTTCCATCTTGTTCACAAGGGAACTTAGTAACAAGGTGGAATTAACAAGGTAAGTAAACTTTCCACAAACGCTTGACTAGGCTGGGGAAGGAGCTGGTGTGTACACTGGTATGTGCAATGTCCCCTCTCCTAGGTCATACCTCCAGACTGTCTTAGCTGGCTCAGATTGAGCAGATTGGTATTAAGAGGTCATGGACACCTTTCTTTTCTCTTACACCATTACTTTTCAAAAGTCATAACATACTAAACCAGTGATCCTCAAACCCTAGCATGCACCAAAATCACAAAGAAGTCCAAAGTGGGACTTAACAATGTGCATTTCTAACAAGTCCCCAGATGACCCGAACACAGCTGGACCAGGAACCACACACTTGGAGAAGCACTGTTCTCTGCACAGCATTACAATTCCTCCAGGCTCAACTATGGTATAGATCTCACTCAAGTCAAATGAGATAGACCACCCTCCATTCTAAAAAGATGCACCAGTACCAAGCCCCTTAGGAAGTAAATGACATCAACTCATAAGATCACCTACAATCTTTAGTCCCCAGGATACAGGGTGAGACGAAACTTACCGCTCTAAGCAGATTTCAAGGTTTCTATTTCATTAGAACTTTTGCCAAGAACAACTCACAAATTTTACGGCCCAAATAAAACTGTTTCAAAGTGGCACTGTGTAACCTGCAGGAGAGCCCAGCTTCCTTCCCTCTCCTTTGAAGTGAAAACTTGAGTTTGTACCCTGGGATACTTTGGAGAAGTTGAAGAAATGAAGACAGAGGAGCTGTGGCAGGATGTACAGGGCTCCCCCACCCCCAGATGTGCTTTAAGAAGCCGAAGTGCGGACACTAGAAAACAACTGGCCAAAACTTCCATGGTTCAGATATAGAGAGGTTATGCATGGGATGGAGCCCCACACAGAAGGAGCCCCATGTCTCTGGAGGATGTACTCAACTCTAACAACAGGCTGGACTCTTCTGGAAATACCCTGGCTATGGAAGGTCCAAGGCAGCCACCCTCCCGAGTCCTGAACTTTCAAAGCCAATTTTATCAATCAGTTTAGTGTTTGCATTCACAAGCTCCAGTGCAAAAATCAGCTAGCAGTGAGCTAGCTGTTTTGGGGACAGGGAGATCTCTCCTTGGTGTGAAATCCTACATATACATATTCAGAAGCAAAATCTAGCTCCTTGGGGAGGTTTTTCTCTAGAGTATCTTTTCTGGACAGTCTCACAGATTTCCATTCATTCACGCAAGAAAATGGCAATACAGGTGAGAAACAGATAAACTGAATACTGATCTGTACTCTATCTCATAGCCCTTTATTCTGTTGGCCCCTAAACCTTGAGCCAGGTTGTGGCCAGGACTAGCGCCTAAGAAAAAGGAGCTGCACAAATCTCTTACCCTGGGGGCTGGCACATGGAAAAGCCCACACTATCCCCTTTCGTTGTGGTTTGGATGTGAGGTGTTCCCCCAAAGGCTCAAGTGAGAGACAATGCAAGAAGGTTTAGAGGAGAAATCATTGGGTTGGGAGAATCTTAACACAATCAGTGAATCAATCCCCCATAGGGATTAACTGAGTGGTAATTGAAGTGGTAGGGTGTGGCTGAAGGAGGTGGGCACTGGGCTATGGCTTTAGGGTATGTATTTGTATCTGGCAAATGGAGTCTCTCTGCTTTCTGATCATGATGTGAGCTGCTTCCCTCCACCACTCTCTCCTGACATGATGTTCAGCCTCACCTGAGCTCCGAGGAATGGAGCCAGCCTTCTATGGACTAAGACCTCTAAAACCATGAACCCTCAAATAAACTTCTTCCTCTACAATTGTTCTGATCAAGTCTTTTAGTCCCAGTGGTGAAAAGGCTGACACCTTCCTAGGTGTGGCTTGCTGTTGCTAGACTCCCTCAAGTATCTCTAACACTCACCTCGTCCACACATTACCAGTGATAAAAGTTCTGTAGAAAAGTTGGTCCCATAAATATGTACACTTAGAATGGGTCAAAAAAAATTTCCCCAATCCCCTTCCTCTATTCTGCTGGTCTTCCTTCTATCTTTTTAAATTTATGCATAATAATTATACATAAAAGTAGAAAATAGGGAGAAGGAGGTGAAGGGGAAAGGAGAAGTACTGTGGATTAAAATGGAGCAAATTGTTACATACATTCATGAATAAGTCAAAATGAACCCCACTATTACGTATGACTAGAGTGCTAATGGAAACATTAAAAAAATTTTAAAAACTTTTAAAGTGTCACATTGTCCTCCTCCAACAATCTTGCCCAAAGTTCTCACCAGCCCTCATCTCTCCTTGACATCTTCTCTTCTCCCAATAAATCCTCCTCCTCTGCAGTCCATTACCCAACACCATGTTATAGGAATACTTTCACAAACTAATAATTTGTTCTTCTGAAATAGGATCAGAATTTCTCCTCCATAGTTTCCAATGTTCCATATTTTCCAATATCACAATTACTTGAAAAGCTAATAGGTTGCCTAAAGTACCCCTTGCTTGGTGGTTTTCATCCCTGGCTGCATATAGGAATTGCCTGGATAGCCCTGAAGACCTCTGATGCCAGGCCAAATGGGGTATAAGACTAGCAGTGATTTTTTTTTTTTTTTTTAAGTTCACCAAGAGATTTCAATGTTCAGCCAGAGACAAGAACCACTGCCTTAGCTTTCAACAGGGTGCTGGAGAACCTGGCCACCTAGTACCTTGACTTCAATGCCTGGAAGTACCTGAATTTGTAACCTGGGTCTTTCTCCAACTGTGGGGTTCTGCCCACTGCCCTGGCTTCTAGTCAATTGCTGCCCCGTGGCCCTCAGAGCTGAGCAGGGATGCTTAGAATTGTGTTAATCTCACAGTCACCATCTATTCTGAGAAGTAAGACACATGGAAATGCTCCTCCAAGGCCTCCACTGTTCCTTGAGGACAGCAAAGAAATATCATTAATGAGGCTGGGATTGGCTGCATTCGATGCAAATGGCTTCCAATATCATCTGCACAGACAGAGACCTGGGAAGGAATAAATGTCCATGGCAGACAGAACCAGCAGCCCTGAGGCCATCTGGTTTTAAGGGAAACCATAATCCCTCAGGGAAACAATGCTCTTAGGTATTTTAGGTTTTTGCAAGATTGGATATCCTACATGAAAGAATTGTGGGTCAAATAAAATGTATCAGGTATAACCTGATACTGTAACAGGTCTGAGCAGTCACATTTCAACTCTCTTTATTCTGAGTCCTTGCTCTGAAGGTTTCTGGACCATCTTAAGAAAGTATTGCTAACCCCACTTCATCCCCCAAGCAGGGCTGGGTTCCACTTCCATGTGCAGAACACTTGAGAGACAGAAGCTTTAATCACCTCCTAACATGAGCACTGCCTCGCCACATAACACAGGAAATACATTTAAGATACTGTAAAGAAAATCTGTCACAAGTGCACCCTGGAACTGAAGGCCACTGCCCCTCTGTGGGAGGGACGAAGCCATAAGATTTGGTTGAAATCACCTTCCTCTAAAGGCCCCCGTGAGCCCTCCCAGCTCTTCTTTGGAAGGCTTTAGGTGCTCTGCTAACCACAGTGGGCCTGGGGTCACCTTCTCTATGTCCAGATGGGTTGGCACAGGTAGTTAGAGAGGCCCCAGCCAATGGGATGGTGAGTTTGTTCCCTCTGTGGGCAAATCTGCTTCCAAGGAGAAAAAGAAGACTGGTGACTGCAGACCTGCCTCGGACTCTCTGGTGGGCCTCAGCAGGGTCTGTGGGGACTCACATGGTGGCCATGGGAGAAATGTCCCCATCTCCCTACTCATACAGGTATGAGGGGCTTCCCAACATGCTCCTCTCTCAAAGCATCACTTGAAGTTCCCCTGACAGTCTAACTGCTGCCTGTGAAAGTGCAAAACACCTAAATGCAGACACTTGTCTTCTAAAG